ATCAGATATGAGAAATTCTTGTTGTACATCTTTATAGATTTTAACTAATGTTTATAGATTTTTCTAATATATATATATATAATATATATACCTGTTGGGGCAGAGTGTGGGAATCTCTGATTCATTCCCCATGTTAATTGATAATTAATTAGAGTATATAAGTGCTCTGAGTTTCTTTTGGGGTAGGAACTCTCTGTGGGATATTTCTCTCAGGAGTGGCTCTTGATCAGGATGTAACTTCTTTCTCATTTGTATTTTTATGCATTTCTTTTATCATGTAGCTTAAAGTTTTTGTTGTGGTTATTATATTTGTTATTTTCTTATGTTTACTTTATTATCCCTAGACTTGTGTTTAATATTATTTATTGGTTATTGTTGTATTGTTGATATCGGTGATTGGTCCCTGTTCAATGTTGTGACTTTAAACGAGTGGGCCGTAACAATAGTGCAAATAAAAATTGTCAAAGTGCTCTTTAAAGTGTATTTTAGGAATAAATAAATGTGATTTTTTTTAAGTACAGTAATTCAAAGCATTGTCTTTAATCTCTCTTTGTTATAGTTCACTTCATCAGAAGAGTTCAGCATCAGAGCCCAGCTGTGTGTCTATGAGGAATGAAGGGTGTATAGGTCATCCAGTACATTTTAAGAGTGGAGAAACACGGACCGATCTCAGGTCTAACATTTCTGTAATAGATAAGACTTGAAGATATGATACAGAATAAAAATATATTATCTTTATTAACTCATGTAATAATGTGGTATTTTAATTTTACAGTCATGAAGTCCTCAACACATTTAGATCAAATCTGATGAAGAAGTTTGAGTGTCTGTATGAGGGAACAGCAAAGCAGGGAAACCCAACACTCCTGAATGAGATCTACACAGAGCTCTACATCACAGAGAGTGAGAGTGGAGAGATCAGTAATGAGCACGAGGTGAGACAGATTGAGACACAATCCAGGAGAGCAGCAACAGAGGACACACCAATCAAATGCAGTGACATCTTTAGAGCTTTACCTGGACAAGACAAACCCATCAGTACTGTGCTGACAAAGGGAGTCGCTGGCATTGGAAAAACAGTCTCTGTGCAGAAGTTCATCCTGGACTGGGCTGAAGGGAAAGAGAATCAGGACGTCCAGCTCATATTTCCACTTCCTTTCAGAGAGCTCAATCTGATGAAGGACAAAACACTCAGTCTTTCAGATATTCTTCAGGTCTTTT